GAGTGACAGTCACATTTTTATTGAGCCACAATGAACAGAAACCAACAACACAAACTTCACAATGGACAACTGCATTGATTTGACTCCCTGAAGCAGAACATTTAGGCACAGAGATACAGAAAAAGTCACATTCCTTTATTTCAGTCTTGTATCTTACATGTGACTATACAATAAATACATTGGTGCAATTGCTGCACAGTTAGCAAAATGTAGAGGTTCAGTTTATGCTCCATTTTTACATGTGTACACTGTAATCCCATTTAACAAGATAAAAACACACAGAAAGCATGCTTTTAGTCGGACAAGGAACATTATTTCTTTCTTGGCACAAACGCCAATCCAAAAATGAATCAAAAGTGCATTTCTTTTGAACAGTTCGAGCAGTGAAGGAACCACACACATTAGATTAGCTCTGCAGATAGTTTCTTCTGGAACATATTACATAAGGGCATTTGTAACAAACATATCTATCTACAGTGACGTTCGCAAACATTCGTGGAACGCTCAGTATTTGGAGCGTGTCAAAAGAATAAAAGTGTTGAAATACTAGCCCTCATCTGAGAATCGTGTCTCAGGTTTCCAAGTGTAGAGTTTCACATTCAGAAGCTTCAAAGGTCAAAAACAATTGTACATTAAAAAAAAAATAGAAGTGACAATGAAGCTAAACTTTACAAATCTAGGGAGGGCATCTGACATAGCACCTAATTCATAAACATATGGCTGCAGAATGTGGCAAGGCATTTCTGCTGCAACCTCAGAAGAGAAAGAAAGAGGAGTTGAACCTGTTCTACACTGCATTCCAGTCAGTCAATACTTGAAATTTCATTTCTCAAAACTGTAATGCAAAAAAATAAAAAAAATAAAAAAGAAAGAAAGAAAGAAAGAAGAGTAATTTAATACTAAACCCAGCAAATAATAAATAAATTAAGAAATAACACTGGCATAGAGCTCCTTCATGGCACAACAGCATGTACTCTCAATTTATTCCTAAAACGTCAATATTCAAGTTCAGTTTACTTAATATTAACTACACCTTGATGAAAACATGAAAAACATAATGAACCAATAGTTTATTAAGAATTATTCAGGCTAAATAAATGTTAAACTATATCATTATGAAATAAGCCTTTCTTCATGCTTTTAAGGCAGTACATTGTGTTAGAAAGTGATATTTTTCTTTTTAAGTTCAAGGTGAGAACAGCTTCACAATGTTTTTTTTTTTTTACACTTCTCTGATTAGCATCTGCTTTGCACAGTGATAAACAGTATATTCCTGTCTTTAAAGGTGTACTGTGTAACTTTTCTGGGGGGAAGCTGGTGACAGACCCTCTACCAAAGTTATACAGTGCAACTTTACATTAAAATATTGACTGACAAGTGGATTCAAAGCAGTTAGTCAAGGGCTTTTGTAAAATCATTTTCTAATCACAATTTAACGGCACACCATATCACCTCATCGACAAACACAGTGAGTCACAAGCCAGTTAACGTTTGTGCCTGTTCCATGTTTGTTTTATTTTGTTTCGGTGTTTTGCTTGTTTGTTTTTTGTTTGTTTGTTTGTTTGTTTTGTTTTGACAGTGAAGGTCTCTGAAGTAACCCCGTTACACTGGTCTAAAATCTATGCTAACTATTATAATGTTATACAGAGAAGTTGCTAAGATTGAAGAAGGGAAAAACCAGCCAAAGGCAAGGGTTAGATTATCATCTACCACCTTACAATAGATTAGCACTATTATTTGACTGATAAAAGATATACTGATAAATTGTCAACCATTTACACCCAGAGAGAGAAGAAGAAATACCAGAGTTTTCCACAGGAGAGCGGTCGGAGCACAGTGAAAATCTATGTAACTAATCATGGAGACATTTTCTGCTTTGGACCTCATTACTGAACTGTACATTCACGTGGAAAAACGATAGAGACGCTGTAAACTGCCCATATCCTGAGGCCTCTTACAAATGAATCTAATCACAGTTTTAATTGCATGGATTAAATGCCAGATGTTGGTCTTTAAGTGAGTATATTAACCGACGCGGGCAGTGAGCAAAAGCCGAAATAAGAGTGAAGAATGCACAGTCACAGAGTAGGTAGGGCAGAACATGCACTAACCAATTACAATGGGATACAAACAAACAAAAACAATGGCAGAAGTATTCTTAAAGGACTCATGTGATGCTATTTTCTGCTTTATGTTATAATGTTGTTCCCTCATTAAAAACATACCTGGAGTTGTGTTTTGCTTCATTCACATGTTCACAATTTTGCATATTTGAGTTCTTCTGTCAAACAGAAAACACTCTCTTCTACATCTGATGACATTTTTAAACTCCATGCACTTTCACTAGAATCATTTGAGTAATTTCAGCTCTGGAAATGCCAAAAGGTAAAAGGAGCTGTTAACTTGAGTTTGGAGATTTAGACAGACTAATAATAAAGGATTACTCATGATTACTCATTAGTCATGAGATTTGTATGAATGAAACAAAACAGAACTCCAGACATGTTTTTGAGGAGGTAACAACATTCAAACATGGCTTAATTCTCACAAGAGTTAAGTTTGTTTAAAATAGAGCCTTTAAAGGTATACTTTTTTGGTGGCTTATTGCTTGAAATGTTCAACACTAGAGTACGGAGTTACAGCACATTATCTATCTTGCATTTATTCACTTAGACATTAAATTAACATATTGTGGAACATTCAAAGCAATAGCATTTCCATGATTATGCAGGTGCCAAATCCTCCACCAGAAAAGTTATGTAGAGCAACTCCAAGAACAATTCTTGATATTCAAAAGCAAGTTGCAAACTTTGAATTATTTTTCTTTCTGCCAATTGAACAATGTTTTTTTTTTTTTTTTGTTATTTGCTTTTTATCCAGTTGACAGAATAGAATTTTTCTTTTGTCATGGTTCATACCCATATGACTCATGGATTACACAACACACAATTTTTCTTTTACTGTAATAGAACCAAAATGTCACTGATGAGAAATTTAGTTCTTGCCAGTGGTGGAGTTAGCAATTTGGGGGCTCTAGGCAAACTTGAGTTTGGGGCCCTCACTATAATGCACCATTTTTCTGCTTTGTTTTGTTTTTTATATACATATATATATTATCTCTTTTTCCCCATTGTTCTTGAGACGTTGCTAGTACGATTATTTTTTTTTTTTACATCCAATACATATGATTATTTTATTATTATGATTATTGTTTAAAAGTAAACTACTCTTATTTAATGTCATATTGAGAGAAAATCAGATTGCTCTGAGGCTTTGGCCATTAGTGGCACTGAGGGCAGTTGGTTGGGGGCCCCTCCAGGTTTGGGGGCCCTAAGCAGCCACCTACTTCTGTCTAATAGTAGCGCTGTCTCTGGTTCTTGCACTAGTTCTAGGATCTTGAATATGAGAGGCAATTTCAGTCAGTATAAGAGCTTACACTGCAAGCAAAAACCAAACGCACAGTGGTTAAATATAGTCCATGTAAATGTACCCTCTCCACATGACACTATGGTAAGGAGGCTTTAAAATCAATGGGAAAATGCACTCTGTCATTTGTCACCAATAACAGTGAACAGAACATCCTCACGTGAGCTTTTATGTAATGATTTCCTATAGCATCATTATCACTTACGTATTGAAAGACTGGACAAGGTTCTGGGCAAAGAGCACAACTGGAGTGTGCACCCGTTGCCATGGTAACAAAGTCAAAAGCAGATGATCTTGACAAACAACACTGCACTAGATTATATAATAAGATGTCTATGAGTAAAATGTTATGAAACAGTAAGTCTTCTGTTAAGTCAGAGGTAGGATCAAGGTCTGGTTTTAGGGTCAGTTTGTAATTTCATTTAGTAAAATTGAAATATCCTTCAAATACTTAGAGGAGTTGGATGGAATTTTCTGCAGGGTCCATCACCTGCGTATCTGTGTTGCCTTGAATGTTCCCCAGTATGGTATTAACTTGTTTATTCAATTATTCAAATACATTTGGTGGATATTTATGCAATTTCTGCAGACTTCCAGTCAAAGCAACTACAACTAAAAGAAGAAAACATTTGAATTCTCTATCTAAAATGTTACACAGTTTCCCTTCATTTGTCATATTATATTGCCTGGTGTTACTCTGGGGATAAAAAGAAATGGGACAAAATTATAAATGCATTTAAACACATAAATAATGCCTTAGCACGTGAGCCATATTGTAATATTTGTCATATTGTATTGTATGAATCGCATATTATGTGTTTTTCCACACAGTCACTGAATGTACCTCATGTTCTTTCCATTGAAGCTGCTTAAGAAAGAACAGACATCCTGTGCTAGTGTTATCATAGATCGATCCTTTCATGTTTACATTTTTTAAATCATCTGCCATGTGAGTAATCCTATATATGATTCTCTATTGATTATAGCCAAGCATGTAGTCGTCCAATTATTGCATCTGAATAACAGTGCTCCAAGCAGCAGCTGTCTGCTCTAAAAACATTTTCAGTAGCACTGTTTATGCAGCAACTAACAAATGAAAAACTTGACATACTGACGTGATTTCAAGCTAGAATTGTTTCGAGAAGGAGTATAACGCTGCAAATATTTTCTTTGGGAGAGATTAATAAACTTTCAAACTGCCAAAACATTGCAACAATAAATACATAAGATGACATTTTACTTTTGTACAAATAAATAGAGATTTGCATTGTCTTTGCACAGTCCCTTTGTAAATTGCACATTCTTTTTAAATATATTTTGTCAATTATATACAAGTTTTACACATATTTACAAAATATACCTTAATTGAAGGTGCACTGATTAGACAGGACATGACCTGCTGGGGAAAAAAATTACTTCTTTTCATTACACCACATGTTACTATGCAACAAGAGAGCAGTTTTTGATTAAAATAAATGTTTTCGAAGCAGTAAAAATGAAGCATAAGACATCTGCGCCTCTGTGTCTCCAAAATTGCAGGTCTTGACAACAGGTGATGCATGTGGAGGGTGAAGGTTTGTTCAGCTGGTGCAATTCAACAGATGAGTTATAGTGGTATAGTAGTTATTAGACATTTATGCTGGTTCTTTCAGATAGAAGTCACAATACACAAGGCATTGCTATGTATAAGGCTTAGGGATGGGACGAGACACATTTTCTGCAAGATGAGATGAGGCAGAAGATACATTTTTTTAAATCAAAGCTAAATGTGGAAAAATCTCACAAGAGACTTTTCCACATGTTTCAGTTTGTCAGTCTTGTGTAAATTGTATCTTGTCCCATCCCTAATAAGGCTACAATACAGTACCCACAGAACATTTCCGATAGTATAAAGGTTATGGCAGATCTGTGTATATGGCTGGGGAAGAAGCATGCTGTTAGAAACTGGTCATGCCTCCACATTCTCATTAGCTTTGGAGGGCACGGCTCCCCCAAAATAAACACTCCATTACTCCAGTGAGTGCAATGGTTTCCCTGTATCCAACATCTTCAAGTTATAAATTTAGTTTAAAACCTTCATCTTAGCTTGTCTGTGGTTTTTGAAGGCTTTCGTCGTCCTGGTTTTGTTTGTTTAGAGCATCCAGATTGGTCTGAGTGTCCTTGCGTTCATCTATGGAGCAGTTGGACACAGCGTTGGCCATGATGCAGAACTTCCGAAGGAGTATCTCCCTGAGGAGCAGATACACCCATGGGTCCAGGATCTGGTTGAGGGAGGCCAGGCGGATGGCAGTCAGAAAGAAGTTACAGTCTAACTGGTAATCCCGGCCGGAGTGTATGATGCTGTTTCCAATGGTAGGGTTGCACTCGTGGGAGGAGGTTTGGGTGGAGATCATTCTTAGCATCAACACCTGCAAAACGTATGGAGAGTGAAAATATAATAGTATAATAATTCAAAAGGATTTGGACAATATATGAGTTACAATATGGTTTATTAGAGTAAAACATATAACACGGTACAATTTTTATGACTCTAAGCTCTGATGAAAACTGTGTATGGTCAAAACATGTTGGCTTTGGCCATTTAAGGGTGCACTGTGTAACTTTTCTGGTGGAAGGTTCACCACCTTCTTGTCTCCAGGTAGATATTTCTGTTTTGCCTTGATTAACTTGGTAATCACAATGGAGAGAGAAGATCGGATACAAGGAGAAGCAAGCCTGCACATGGCAAGAATTTATGTTTTTTGAGGTACTTTTAAACTATAATTCACTTTGAACTAAAAACAATGTAAGGCAGATATGTTTAATGCTGTACTGTGGAACATTCTCTGCAAAGACATAATATCTCCATGGAGACAAGCAAGTAGCATACCCTCATCCTTAGGGGTAACATAGAGAGTCTTGAAATAAACACCTTTAACTATACCTCATGCAACTTTTACTTTTTCTGGAGTGCCTGTATTTTATTTTTTCTCTATAACACCATATATTCTGTTTTCTCATCAGCTTCAACTACCAGGTCTCAAAAAAACTTCAATTTTGTGTGATTTGCTTTGCACACACAATACTCTATAAACCCAACAGAGAGAGGCCTCTGTATGAGACCTTCAAGTTTCTTACAGAGGCAACAGAAAGAACACTTTAAGTGTTAGTGCTTTTCAAATAGATTTGTTTTTTGATGGAATATAGTATTGCTTGGACTTTAGTGCAATAAAACGCAATGTTTTCTGATGGTGTCATACATGTGTGCAAGAGATAAACAAAATCTCAGTGGTTGTGGAAAAGCTGGATATAAAATGGAAATCTAAGAAAACTCTTTCACATTACACTATGATCCACAAGCCACAAAATGCTGCCATTACCTTAAGCTTTTGTGCGGTTTATATTTTTTTGTGACCAAAGATGTTTCTGTCCCCAAGAATCTTAAAGGGCCCTTATTACACTATTTTCTGATCTATGTTAAAATGTTGTTTCCTCATCAAAAACATACCTAGAGTTATGTTTTGTTTCATTCACACATAAAAAAAACACATGCACTGAATATTTAGGCTTATTCTCTCAAACATAAAACACTGTTCCACCTTGTGATGTAATGTGGAAATACAGGAGTCCCACTGTGTTTTTAAACTCCATACACCTTCACTGGATAATTTCAGTCCTGGAACTGCTAATCTCTTCTGAACTAACTGTAAAAGGTTAACTTGAAAACTACTACAGCATTATAAAATAGAACAGAGCATTTTGAGCTTTGGAGATGTAGACAAAGATGGGTGAGGGAAACAAAACACAATTCCAGGTATGTTTCTGAGGAGGTAGTAAGATTCTAGCTTACTTAAAGAGGGTTACAGTGGTAAGTATCTGGCAACATTTAGGCCTGATCGTTATACATAATCAGTAAACAAATTACTGCACACTGTCTAGGGCAGATGGGCTGGGCTGAGTTATATATCTGTTTTTATACACACATACACACACACACACACACACAGGCGTGCGCCGCACACACACACACACACACACACACATGCACACACACGCACACACACCTACACACCCACACACACACACACACACACCCACACACACACACACACACACACACACACTTCTTTAATATTCAGAAGGTTATCCTCTCTTTATTGCAATTTTCATGAATCCTTAGCAGCCACCAGTAACTTTCCACATGCCACATGTATGCATGCTGCTCCTACAGACATGTGTGTTTCTATTAATATCCACAGAGGGACTAATAAATATGTAACTGACAATGCAAGACCTCAGCATTACCAGCAGACCCTTCCAACAGGACTCTACTAAGTGGATTGGCCCATAATTGTACATGACAGCAGCATGTGTTTCAAAGGGGGTTTTGTTTCAGGATTGGTATGGTTTGAGAGGAAATAAAATGTTGCGTTATAAAAGAGATATAAAACTGCATTCATAAAACAATAAATTCAATGTTACTCGGGCAAAGCAGCTGTCTTTCACGCCAACACGTGAAAGAAACAGATACGCATTTCTTCTGGCTATAAACTATTGAAACAAATATGTCATGGAAGAAATCTTACCAGCAAAGGGGACCAGCATATCAGCAAGACGCACATGATTCCTAACAGTTGAATAACAGTCTCTGTAGTGAGCCTTTCCCACTGTTTTGAGGAATGGGAAGTGCCAGATTTCGTTTTACACCGTAAAATCAAGCCCCGTATTGTCACTACATTACACGAAAGTGTAACAAGCAACGAGAAAATCCCAAGTGCTGCAAAAGTGATGGCGAAAAACATGTTGCCTGGAACCTCTCTGTCTCCCGTGCTGATGAAGCACCAAGTCCCGGGCCACTGACGCGTGTATTTTCCGACTCCAACGATGGGCAAAAGCGCAAAAAGCAACACAAGACACCATATGACAGCTAAAGTCTGTTTGGTCAAGCTGGTTTTCATGTGGTTAGAGTACCAGTGCGGGTTTGTAATGGCTGTGGCTCTTTCTATTGCCATTGCGCTGGCCATAAACAGTGCGCACAGCCCGAAAGTTGTCATGCAAACACCGAAAAAAGGGCACAAATAGCCAGAAGAGTCTATTCGGTCCCATTTCAAGTCAGCTCTATAAACTGATATTACTATTGGGCTTGTCAGAAGCTGTCCAAAGAGGTCTGTGAAAGCCAATGAACCAATGCAGAGCAGGAAAGACCGTTTTCTTTTGTTTTCTTTCTTTCTGTAGGAGATATATACTAGGATAAGTGCTAAGGAGTTGCCCACCATCCCAGTCACCATCATAGTAATTGGGAATCCGACTGAAACGGATCTACAGCTGGAGTTCTTGGTAATATTGTCCCCGTGCTGAGTCTTGGACATGTTGGAGCTCAGCATGTCTCCAAAAGTCGCTTCAAAGTCCTCCAGGGAATCACACGCATCCCCTGTCATCCTGCCGGCAGAGATAAACACGCGGGCAGATGATAAGCCATGTGTGAGTGACATAAACCATTGGTACTCCTACTCCAGGCGCTGGAAACTGAATGCACTGCGTAAAAGCGCACCGGCGTCTTTACGCGTGAGAGGCGGGACTTAAAGCCCGCCCACCACACAAATCTTATTTGTTCTACTACACAAAGTGCACTTCAAAACTGACTGCAAAACAGATACAGTCTTGGGAGGACCTGCTGCTACAACTTTAGCGGAAGAATTTAAATTGTAAATGGCACGTTATCGACGTTGGCACCTCTTGTGTATAATAGCCTAATTGCTGTAGGCCTATTGGATCCAAATAATATAATGTACCTGTAGTCTAAAATCCATAATTGTGTGGGGTTTATTCTATTAGACCGAAATGGAACACCAATCTAAGTCGTTTGAACAGTCCATAGCAGATAGGTCTTTTCTTTCAAAGAAGTCAGTTTAATTCACTCATTCATTCCTCAAGTCAGTTACGTTACTTCTACCTCAGCACCTGGCTTGAAGAATTGAGAAAGCTAAACGTGTTCGACACGGTGCACTCGACGCCACCTGTTGGCAACCACCGGTACTACATAGGTTTAACTACAAAATTAGACCTAAATTGTGACAAATTCTCGCTCGCTCATCTGTGCAGGGGACCTGAATAACATCTTGTAACATGTGTGCAGTAAATAGGCTTCAGACAAACATTTTTTTTATTGTTTTATTTACACGTGTACATAGTGATGCTTTTCCAATAACACATTGCACTGTTGAGTACTACTGTAGATGGGTAATCAGTTGTTGCTAATCTTATTTTGAAATTGTGAATAATTAGCTATTTGCAGTGACAAAAATGTAGTTATTTGTCTTAAAGAAATGCAACAAAATCTGAACTATAGACAACAAAAAAGTATTACATCAATTCAAAAAATATGAATACTTACCTTCAAAAACAAAAAAGGCCATAATAACATTGCTACATAGTTCAATTTTTTTCTATAAAATTAATTGTAGGAGAAAAAAAATCTCATCAAGCGTTCCTCTGACATGTTTAAAAAGTGAAGTTTTCACTACAATGACACTACTACACAGAAGAATTGATTTTGTGAAAACCTTTCACAGTATTCATTCTTAACAGTTTTGCTCTGGACACCTACAGTTACAGACTTGTGAATAGATTGGGTTGTACTGCATTTTCTCAAAGGACAAAAAAAAAAGAATAAATGTTACTTTAAGAAAGTAGTCAACAGTATACTGAATGGGAGCATTTGATATCTTGCAACACAACATGCAATGGTATCGGGGTTCCTTTTGTTTTCTGATGTGTTCAAAGGCTGTTTTAAAGTTATTTCTTTTTTGAACTGGAGCCAGAATTTGATGACCCAGAGGACTGCCCACGCCTCCTGCAAGCACAAACACAAGGGAAGAAGTACAAGGTCAGTAAACCAAATTACACCTCATTAGTTATTAATACTAAACAAAATAATAACACCAGAATTGGATAAAAATGCCCAGATATGATAACATGTCAATTGCAAAATCCAAAAGAAGGCAACAGAAGTATGATCTGTGCCACTGTGGTATTCCACATAAACCCAAACCTTTCGGACGAATGAGATCTAGAGCGCCTGCGTTTCCTCCCTCCAGAAGAGGACCGGGACCGACTGCGTTTGAGTGTCCTCTCAGGGGAAGAGGAGGGCGAGCGGGAGGCCTTCCGTGATGAGCCCTTTCCAGACCTGGAGCTGGATCTTGTGAAAGGATAAACCAAGTGCAGAGGTCAGTAAGATCACAATCAACTCCACTTGCATGGGTTAATCTAACAGCTCTCAACAGCCTTCAAATACATCAGAGAATTTGGATAACAATCTTGAATGACTTTTTAGGAGTAATACTGATAAGAGCTGCTTGATTAAGCCCCAGGGTTTCTAATCTTGTTCATTTCTATTCATTTGCAATTAGCCAAACTTATTCTACTAAATAAGTCATAAGAGTTTGGCCTGTTTTATGTCAAACTACAGTAAACTAGGCCAAAGGACTGAGCAGGGCGTCTGCCCCACACATCCACTCTCAGAGGGAGAGTGCATGTCACCTCATTCACCTGGAACGGGACCTGGAGTGAGAGCCAGACCTGGAGCTGGACGAGCTTCTAGAGCGGGACCTGGAACACAAAACAAACCCTTTCCAATCATCTCAATACTGTGAAAACAGAGACAGGTTACTTCATCTACTATTACAGGATTAGGAGGTAATAAACCTAAAAATACACTTGCATGTCTCAAGTTACATTTCTGCAGTGACAAGACAGATCTCTCTCTCTCAAATAATACTGGGTATTGACAAAATACTATACAACTACACTTTATTATTAAAGCATGCAGCAGTCAGAAGTGGAAGCAACTTCATAAAATCAGGTTATTTCTCAAACAAAAAATATAAAAATATTTCTAAAAGCACATTTAAAACAGCCAAAACTTAGGAAACTACTGAACAAAACACATAGCCTTAATTTAAAATAACTAACACCAGCTGAGACACAAATGTTCTGAGTATGTACTTTAGCCACTTGTACAATACAATTTTAAACAGTTGATCATGATGCATTTTAATTAATAACTAACATTTTCTGTATGGATTCCACCTCTGACTGTGCTTATATCAATGCAGTTTTGTATTTGATAAAGACGATGAAATATATCTAATGCCTAACAACTGGGGTGGGTTTTAGGGAGGGGGAAAACAACAAAAAAATTACAAGACAATAACTTTCGATCATTCAAAGCATAAATGGAATAGAGTGCTGATACTGACATTTTGCCCGTTGTTACCCTTTGACCTGTACCCGTTTACCTGGACCTGGACCGTGAGGCGGAGCTGGAGGAGCGAGAAGAAGAGCGAGAGCGGGACGAGCCCGAGCGACTGCCCTTCTTCTTCTCCTCCTTCTTATCCTCATCTTCGTCACTGGCATCCAAGTCATACTTTGAAAGGTCTCCATCTTCATCCTCCTCATCATCATCCTGGAGATGAAGTATAGTATTTGCATTCCATTTTTATAATGATAGTTAAAATTACTTTTATATATAAATACATCCATTCAATTCAACCTGAACTCCACAACAATAAACCTACATATCAATTGCTTTTTTAATCTGTTTATGCCAGACTAACTTAAATATATCATTCATAAAGTTTGATTTTAAAAACAGAAATGAAATGTGAATAAAAGAAAATAAAGGATTTAACTGTTATTTAGTGATGGTGTCAATAATCATAAAACAATGTTTCTTCTCACAGTAGGACCTGGGAAACAAAGGATCTTGAGCCAAAATAAAACTTACATCCAACTTATATTTCGAGAGGTCACCATCTTCATCATCTTCCTCCTCATCCTCTTCCTCTTCTTCCCGTTTTGATTCTTTCTTTTCACTTTCTTTAGAGGAAGAAGTACTACTACTTTTACCTCGAAACTTTTTCTTTTTTCTACCAAACTGTAAAAAAAAATCAACTGAATTAGAACAGGAAGTACATTTTTGAAAATACAAGTCAATTTCTGGAGACATCAAAAACAATGACCTCATCATATTCTCCATCAGACTCCTCTCGTTCAATATATTCTACATTCTCTCTCTCATTGAAGCCCCCACCATAACCTGACAAAGAAATACAATAAGGATTTTGATGGCCAGAGAGCTTAACAATAACAATGGTAAGATATGTTACCATTAGTTACCTGTTCTTTCTTCAAGTTTGGCATATTTGGGTGTATTACACATGTTGCACTCCGATCGTCTGGCCCAGTTCACATTACCACATCTATAGCAATAAACCCAAAAATAATGATTAGTGATTTAATTATAATTCATATATAAAAAACAGCTATGAATAAGCCAATTACGTTTTACACTGCCAGTCATTCGCACTAAAGAGTCCTCTGCTTTTTTCTGCCAGAGTTTTACCAATTTCAGTGCCTCCTGCTTTCATCATCTTGGCTTCTGTGGTTTTGTCTAACAAAGAAAACAGATAATGATGCATTTAAAGTGAAGGTTTGACAAGAACCTGCTCAACTGCAAAATAGCAGTCATTTACCTCTACCACACCGGTTACAGCTAGTTCTCCTTGCAAAGTTTACATTTCCGCATCTGTGAAATGTAAAAATAGGTTATGAGCCATGTTTACTTTAAACACCCACACTGTGGAGGCGTACTTAGTTTTAAAAAATAAATAAATAATAAGGGGGGAAAAAAACTTTACTAGCTTACTTCATCTTGCATCTGGTTTACCACTCAAATACACAGAATAGATTTGCATGTAACTTGATACTATTACTTTTGTGTTTGGATCAACATCATGTCGAGTGCAAGCCATAGAGCTAATTTAGCAAGGTTTACTGGTTTGTCGTGTTAGGCGATATTTATATGAGTGTTGTGTTCTAAATTCATAGCAATATTAGGTACTTATATTTCATTAAAGTTATTGCGGTGGTGCATAGAAAACAAAATAGAAAAGGTCAAAACGTGTGTGATCTGTGAACAAAACACCACTCGGCCTAAAAGCTCTGCGCTGGATGCTAGAAGCTAACAGCTACATGCTAATGTTTGTTGATAATGTTCAGTCCTGTGCTTATGCGAGAATCTATGTGATCACAATAGTCGTGACCAAGATGTACTCACTTTTTATCGGGACAAATCCAGTCCCCGTCACTAACTCGAAAACTCTTCCCAGACATTTTGAGCCTAGAACACGACACGCTGCAAGAGTCTCACGCGGCTCCTGAAGCGCTGAACGTGCACTGCCTCCTCACTGCGCATGCGTCACGTGTGTCTCAGTGGTCAGCTCATTCAGATACAAGAGCGCACCCTGCCGGTGGTTTGTATGTCAGCGGCTCATGAGCTGCTTTGCTGGGCTTTGGTAAAGTTGAAGAAAACTCTCCAGTGGTGGCGAAGCATCACCACTACTAACTAATGCCAAAACATCATGATACTAATTTAATAAGGATCACTAAATCTCTATGAAACTATAGATCTGCAAGATCAAAATGCTATTCCTACACTTACTGAGAATTAAATGTAAAAATAAAATTGGGAAACATTTCTACAGGGACCTACATAGCTAAATGTATCTGTCGCAAGCAAATAATGGGTCAATGAAGTTTTGCAATTTGTATTTTGCTCTGCACTAAAAAGATGAGCCACTAGATGGCAGTTAATGCTCAGGTTTCCTGCTCCAAATTTGTCATACACCCTCCTTTTTATGTTTGCCTTTTCCTCCTTTAGAGCACAAACTGACTATTCAACAACAATTGAGCTTTTTCTAATACTTGAACTCAACGTGCTGAAGATAAGCAGTGCATCAGCAGTGTAGTAGGTTTCCATAGTTACAGCAGAAACCAGCACTGTATTATTTATTACATGACTGTCCTCTTTGACCACTGTGGCAGCCTGGACACTGTCTCTTAATTGCATGACACAAGATGAGTGTTCATGTCAAGAGGATGGTCCATAAATACTGTGATTCCTGGTTTGTGGGGGAAAATCACATTTTCACATCTTAAGGTGCACTGTGTAACTTTTGTGGCGGAGGGTCCTCTCATTACTCATCTCCATGGAGGTGATAGAGCTTTGCCTGGAATGTGCCACAATATGGTGTTAGTCTACTTCTTCTTCCTTTATGTCTGCTTCTATAAAACAAGCATGCAATGCCACCAAGCTAAGTAACAGGCAAGATTTTTTTCAAGATATTTTTTAGCAATAAAAACAGGTTTAACTGAATTAAAGCAAGATGGATATGGATGTGTTTAATGTCATCCTGTGGGATATTTCAGACACAGCAATAACATCATCACAGAGACGAACAGGTGGTGGACCTTCCACATGAAAGTTACACAGTGCACCTTTAATAACTGATTGATTTTGCCTTAATAAGCACATATATCTGAACGGCCACTAGGATTGTGTCTGATTGCCAAGTATCTCATGATACAATAAATATCCTGATACATGGTCCATGATACAGTATGCATCCTGATACTCTGACCTTCATACAATACATGTTCTGATACATGGATATGTTCACAATGCCCTTAATATCACACAATACAGTACAACTGTCGTAGGTCATCTTCTAAGTCCAGCAGATAAAGCCCTAATTCAGTAGTGAGCAAGTAATTAAGTGTATAATGTGACAATTTTTTTTATGAATTAGTGTTGTTCAAATGTATCATGGTACACATCTCTGTAACTACTACACATATTGCCAAGAAGTCTGTAATGATATATATTGTCCTATTGATATTTTCAGTAGAGCCCTGACTACAGCCCTCTCAAATAACAGTGAAACAAGGTAATAGCACTGATTGACTACTATAACTTCCACATACAGGCATATCCACCCACAGAACCTTTGGAGTAAATTTTCTGGTAAGAGTCCACAAGTGTGCAGGATACTGTGAATCTGTGTGTTTTTGAGTGCATTTCTCATGTCTGTTGTTGAGGGTGCGGTCGTCAAAGTCAGTGGCCTTGGAGGTCAGTGCCACAGCTGCTGAGAGACCCTGAGCCTCACCACTGTCTCTTACACCATTTTAACTGCACTCCATTACAGCCCCCTGTCTATCTCCACCCAAAACCACCCAGCCTTGTCCTCCACTTTTCAGCCTTGACGGGTTTATTTAATTGAATACACTCCTGATGATCTGAGCCCATTTTTAATCATACATTGTTTTAATCTCCTTGTATCTGTTAGGCTGACATAGACTTGATTTATGAGCCCTCTGAACAAAGATTATTAGGCGTAGTGGAGGCCAGAGAAGATAAGATATGGTCTGCAGTCACATGTCGGGATGTGTCCTCTTTGTGTTCGAGGAAATGACTTGTGGACCCCATCAGTGGCATCTCAAATGCAATATGAACACTGCACAGTCTGCTCCTAGGAGGCAACTTAGATTATTTGTTTAAGTCTTGTATAGAAGAATGTTCCTCTTAGAAGCTATTCACAAGTTCATCTGGGGATAGCATTAAAACAAGCCAATAAAGCCTTGAATAGCCACAAGATACTGTTGTTTTCCTTTTGGCTTTTGCGTCTTTGGACTAACACAACAATCTGCCTCTGTGCTTTGGTATACAAATGTAGCTGGATGCCCCCACGGACCCCATATTTAGAGCTTTGAAATTGCTACAAATGTCTACACTATTGCCCTAATGAAAAGACTAAGTTTAACTGATCCTCACAGTTAGGGTTAGGGGTTAGAGGGTTAAAGTAAGACAAGTAATTGTCAAAGTTCAAAATGGGTTTATGTTATGATATCTCTATATATTCCACAGTATGACATTAAACTTGTCTGTTTCCATGGAGACAAGCAGGTGTCAGACCTCAGAAAAGGTTTGTCAAGGTATCTTCATGAGAAGGTGGAAGACCCTAAACCAGAAAAGTTACATAGTGCACCTTTAACGTTACAATTGTACGATAACTCAAATACTAAACTGAAGAGCAGCTTGTGCCAACACATTCTGCCTGTGTTATCGAATGTTTGTTTGCAGCCCAGAATGGCATGAAAGATTCGATGAGCAGTCAGCCAATTAAACAGCACTTAGGCAGACTATGTCCCATTACATTTAAGTAGCTTTGGCATGCGCTTTTCTTTTCTCTGACCAATGCACATCCCAGGATCTGATAACATCCCTGTTCAATACCAGCCCAGCCAAGATACTTCTTGGATGTAAATGAAGCTTTAAGCAGTGCGGACACACTTCGCGCTCCCAGGCCGGTCATGGATGGGCGTTCCTGCGCTGCTCTGTCTGACAGGGGAGAGGCAGCATGTATGGAGACTTGGAGAGACCTGCCACGAGCCACTATGGGCTTTCCAGATCTGACAGATGGCACTGAGCTGTTCCCAGGGAAAAGAGGCAAAGACTTGGACTGCAGAGACTGGCATGCGCTGCCCTCCATTCTGGAGTTAATACCATGAATCAGCTCTAAGCACCAGGGTGACATGGGTTTTCCTGTGTGAGTGTTTGTTTAATACACGTGAAAGCAGGTTTAATGATAAACATCTGGTCCAATCAAGGCAGAACTTTTTCACTATTTGTAAAACTGTTTGCCCAAGTCACAAATCATTTCAAATTTTTTGACTCATCGAACTTTCCACAATACTGCAATTATGGTGGTGTGCCAAAGGTTGCAAGAATTGTGAGAGTGGATTTTGCTGCTAGTATTTTGTTCATTATTTCCAGGAAGAATCACTGCTAACAAAGAATGTTTTCCATGGGACAGGGACAGAGGTCGGCTATGTGAGCAACTGACGTTACCCAAACATAACAATTATTTTAGTAATAAATAAATTCTAAGTACCTGAAGTATACTTTTTAATCACAGGGTTAATATCAGCAATTCACAGAAATGCATTTCGTAATTCCAAGATGCTATCCAATCATTTGGCTGCAGTGCGTTGCTCCCCTAAGCAGACCTTGGTCTAAAAAGGGTAGACCTTTGTGGGCAGTGGTCTTACCTCACATGTGGCACTCATCACCCCTCATGGTCTGGTATGGTTCACTTAAAAAAATGGAAACACTTTAAGACTGAACCAATCCAATGCAAAGCTAACAGTGGAAACAAGGCTGTATATATGCCCCACCAAAATGCTGTATCTGTGTGAGCTCCTCCTCAGAGAAACAGGCAGTGTGGGCAGATGTGCCGCTGCTTTGTGCCGTATCTCCTGCTCTCTCATCCGGACCTTATCACTGAAGCACATTCATTTTGAAAAGCAGAGAGCGTGCATTTTACAGTCCACTCCCAACACTCCTGCAAAAGCAATCTCCAATACATGATAGAAGGCGCAAAACTTTAAAGTAATAACTCCACATTGGTAAATGAGGGGCACATCATCTGTTTGGACTTGAGTAAAATGTTGAGAAAAGTTGGTATCAAAAGTAACTTTTTGCTGTATTTTTGCCATACTTCTACATTTATAGTCAGCTTGTCCTTAAATGACCTTAGATCAAGACATTGGTTTAACCGTGCATGATTAACAATGTGAATTCATACAGTTGCTAGTTACAGCCTTTTCTCTGCCTATAAAGTCATGTCTGTACAAATTATTCAAGGGAAAACAAACCAACCTTGAGGCTGAATAATTGCTACACAAAATATCTGCTTATAATGTGTTCTGAAAATATTGATGTGCACATTGGTGCTTCTTCAGTATATTCAAACCCATCCCCTCCCTGTGTTGACTTGAGTGAAGACCTTTACCTGGAGGGGCTATTACAAAATCATGTTCTCCCATCTTGACTTTGAAAACACAATGATACCTGAGTTGATCTGCTGACAGCTTGTGCTTGTTGTTGAGTCCAGCAGATCTTGACAGAGAGTGATGCCGGTGTGGAGTGTAGAAGCTATAGTTCTTCAAATGGAATCGGAGATATATCCAGCTATAAAGTGTTTACAGGGTTAGAGGCGAGACCACTTGATGATTTTCGTGTTTCGGCACAAAATGCAATATCCAAAGCCATGCCTCCGCCAGGGCCCGGCCGGGGGGACGCTCTCCTCTGTCATATCTCAAACGGCCGTGTCAGGTCGGAGCGGCGGGCGCGCCTTTAATTGCCACACATCACTTTTGGGGATGACTCGAAAGGGAAAAGAAATCAATGTCCCTTCTGCACAGATGCCAGACAGAATAAAGTGAGTATCATTCAACCTGTGGCCCCTTGTGCCTGTGTATGTCTAAGCATGAAGTGAAAAATAATAGGAAATACTCAAGTGCACAGCAGTCCAATTCAATACAGGAGAGAGGCAGTGTGGATTGGTGGAATTAACGAGCTTCTGAAACTTATA